CAGGTAGTTGCCCAGCCCTGGTAGACGAAGTGGAACCCGTTTTGTGGATTGACCATTTGGGTGGCTGGTCTTCCTTTGGAGTTAGTACCTTTTTCTTAAGGTTTTCAAAGGGAAACTAAAAGGAACACGGAAGCCATTTTTGCAGGGGGGGAACCCAACAAAAAGGGACTGGGGTGCCGCTAAACAACTGGGAGTAGTCGGTCGCGGGATCACATACAATTACGCCCATTCACTGCAGCGCGGGTGTGAAGTATAAGAAAAGGCAAGTGGAGCAGCGCCCAAACGCTTTGACATGGCTATAAAGTCTCATATCATAAGCCCTACTAAATCCCGAATGGAACCAGGGTCGCTGGGAAAAACTACCAGCGACAATGGGCAACCCGCCATTTTGCGAAGGGGCCAGTTAATACACATCCACATCAAATTGTATACAATTGGTACCAGGAACCCCTAGGGGTCAGTACTTCAAGGAGGCTGGCTGAAGGGACCCGTACAAAGACCGGCCTGATTGTTGAGCAAATGCTTGGGGGTAAAATAGGTCCTGTTTGGGCAGATCATCATGTCAACCAAAGACACGGTCGAAAGGTCAGAAGCAACCAAATGCAGCCAGTGCTCGGTGGGCCTTTGTAGATGTTTGTTTGTGTCCAAAAAAGGGCCCTCTTTGTGACCAGCCCGATGCGCAGGAGCTGCTTGTTGGAAGAAAAGCCGCTATCTATGCTTGGTTCAAAGAGTGGGAAGCACACCGACCAAGAAGGGATGTTAAGCTTACCCCTTAAAACTCCAAGCCCTGGGGAAGTTAATCTTTTACAGACACATAGCCCATGTTACCCAAAAAGTTGAAAAGTTGTGTTTTTAAGAGGTAAGTAAGGCTTGACCGTTTTTGGGTCCCAAGTCCAAACCGGATGCTGTGGCGCCATGACCGGCAAATTATCGTCAAACTTCGAGAGCTCGTCGCTGGGATAGATCCCCAGGGACTTGGAAAGCAAGGAACTGATCGCCTGGGCTGAGGAGAAGCCATTTGGGTTGAAGCGCCGGGTGCAACTTTGGGTTATGCAGAAGCCTACAACTTTGGCCTGGTTGAAATGGAAGATGAGGGACAACCAAAGGCACCATGACAGGTAAGCTGGGCCTGGCGAAGTTTTGGGCAGCGTGGAAAAAGTCGCGCGAATCTATCCCTTGAATCATGTTTGAACAGGGTGCAATAAACAAATGCTAGAGGCAGAATCGGGTCCAGGAATCCACAACGAAGGGAATGATGTTCATGGCATTCCGGAGATTGAACTCCCCCTTCGCAAGATTAAAAACATGCTGGGCCTGGACTGCCCGAAAAACGGATCCCATGCAGTTTCCACCAGTATTGTTCCTTTGGTTTTTGCAGGGTGATTCCCCTAGTTACCTGAGGAAAATGGAAGCACTGGATGCAAACGGTGCAGTTGGACTTCATACTTTTGCCGCCACATCATAAGGAGGGTTGTGGCTCATTTGTGCAGCCACCACCCCAGGGCCCGACAAGCCGAAAAGTGGGCGCAAGCCGTCGGTCAAGAAAAGGAAGGCTTCAGGATTGCCTTTGACTCGCTTCCTACGTGGATTGGCCACAAAAAGGTTGAACTTTGTATGTTCCACTTATCTCAGGGTGGAAGTACATACTTCATCTTGGCTTCCCTGGTTCACCCACTTTCTAAGGGGTCTATACCCCTTTTGGGCTTTGGGGGTATGAACATCACCAGGCCTTTTGGGCCTATTTTTACCCAAGAAGTATGTAAAAGGGGCATGTAGAAGAGTTGAACAAGGCCTGCGAACAGCCTCTTGCCGGAGTTTTGCCCATCGGCACCCCCGAACTTGGAAATGTTCAGTGGCTTAGTTTATATGATATCGAGAAACTCAAGATTTAACACCCCACCGTAAAACTCATATGGAAAAACACAATATATACCACATATGATGTTTGCCTAAACAAAAACAAACACTTTCGAGCATTTCGAAGCCGAACCGTGATTTCCAACTTACGATACCTTACCAAAAGACCTGCGCTGCGTGTTTTGCAGGGACACCCCACAAGCCAACCAAACACCGGACATGCACCTTCTGTTTTAGTCAGGAGCGAAAATCACACTAGAAAAAAAGAAGAAACCCACACACACACACACACACCACCGGGGTTTTCGGAGTGGAACGATGCTCAACGCGGCTTGTACCCCACTCGCCTCCGGCAAACTCACGTAGGTCTCCGCCTGCGTTTTTTCTTTTTGTTTCGAGTCTGCTTCAGCTGGGGTGGCTGGAGCACCTCTTGTGTCAAAGGGAGACCTTTCAACCCTTGGTTGCTTTCGGCTCCCCTGCTAAAAAGTTTAACTTTAGTGGTTTAGTGGAAAACCCCTTAGTTGGCAAAAGGTTCAAGTCCTAACATCCAAGCAAAATGCACCAAAGAAACTGGTGGATGTGGATACGTGGGAGTTGACCAACGTTCCATGTAGCCCTCCAGTTCTGACCTTAACTTCTCCGG